ACAGATCTCTGGGGTGGGATCAGGTGCCACGGAGGGATGACCACCCCCTGCCGACCGTTAACACACGCCATGACGATGTGATGATTGCGGGGTTTTTTTTCATAAGGATTGATTGTTAGGTTACCATTAACGTCTTTTCCTAGTAATATATCCAAGAGTATGGAACAGTGGTGTCAGACTGTGGAATCTTTGATTTCAAGCTCACCAGGATATATCGTACCGACATAAGAATGGAAATAAATATAATTGTTAATTGACAATGCGTCTTTGATATATCTAAATGTTTGAATTACATATTGACAACGCTTAATCAATAGTCGATAGGCCATATGTTTGTAAGTATGGCTTTTTGAAAAAATAACATAATTTTATTTACATTATACATTTAATTAATATTACCCTTTTCTGAAGGCATAAAAATGTCAATTGTACCTATTTTAAGAAAAAAAATGTTGTGACAAGATTGTAGCTGTTGATACATGTAAAAAGGTGAAGAAGAAGAACTGTGAATTATCAATAAAAAAAATCAAATTTACGAAGAGAGCTTAAAACCCTGGAAAATCAAGAAGTGGGTTCAGGTGCATATAGGCGGAGTAACTCCCCTCCCCCCCTCTTGAAAAATTTATGAGGTTTATGTTTTGATCATTCAGACGTATCATACCGTAGTCAAATTCAGTATGAAACAAAAGCTTAACAGATAGATGAAACAAAGTCAAAATTGTTTTCAATGTCACAATTGACTACGGAATATTCCTTCTACCAGATCAAAACATTCAACTCAAAGGGGTGTGAGTAGTAAACAGGGGGTACTTAATTAGTTCTTCTATGTGCATCTGATCCCACCTATGAAATTTCCTGGAGTCCATGTTTTTGCTGCCCTGTCTACATATTTTTATCAGGGCCGTAACTAGGGGTAAAAGATAGAGGAGGCGGGGGTTTGGGGGCCGCGTGAAGATTGGGTGGTGCGGGGGGGGGGGGAGTCCCCCTGCATAAAAATTGCTTCTTTATTACTGTTTGACTGCAGTAAAACAGAAAAGGCGACTGAATGAAGACTGTGTGCCGTAAGGGGCGACTGAATGGGAAGTGTGTGTCGAAAAAGGCGACTGAATGGGGATCCGTAATGAGCTGAACTTAGAGTAGGTCTTTATCGTTCCTTGCGTGTTGTAAGACTGTTTATAATTTTACGTCCCGCTCAAGAATATTTCACTTATATGGCGTGTTGTAAGAAGCAACTGAATGGGACAGTCCCTCGGATGAGACGGAAAAAACCGAGGTCCTGTGTCACAGCAGGTGTGTCACGATAAAGTTCTCTTCCTGCTCAAAGGCCCTGAGCGCCGAGCATAGGTCTAAATTTTGCTGGCCTTTACTGGTAATGGAGACGTCTCCATTATAGCATATAAGTAAAAAATTCTTAAATGGGACGTAAAACAATCAATAGCCAACCAACTAACGTTAACTCACAATACTCATCTGATGCTTCAATTGAATTTTAACTTCTGAATGTGAATATAAACAAGGATAAATAGTAATACGAAACTGACTTTTCCCAAGAAAAAGATAAAATTATTTAAGTCAATAGAGGTATCTGAATAGTTTTTACTGTATTAAATGCAGTTCTAAAATGATCGATCGCCGTAGTTCGAATTTCGCTATGGGACTGCCAGTAGCGGATCCAGAAGTTCATGGGGGGGGGGGTTGAGGCCCAAAGGGCCGAAGGGGGAGGACATGGGAGGGGGTGTCCCCCTCCCATAGGTGGGGGTTCGGTAGCCTCCCCTGAGAAAATTTTGTTTTAAATGGTTCTAAATGGTGCATTTTCCAGCATTTTGGGGGTACTTTTTGTAGCTTTTTTAAAGACCGATCATCACATATTTTTAATAAAATGTTTTCCATTAATTTAACTTTAACACAAGACTTTATACTTTGCTTTAAAAAAATGTTAAATATGAGCAGTTGACTTCAAGTTGTCTTAGTTTACTTAAAATGCACCTCCAATTAATTTACTCCTATCGACATGGGGACTGGTTCTTCGGATAAGACCGCATAAAGTTAACCGAAGCCCCGTGTCACAGCTGTGGCACGATTAAGATCCCTCTCTGCTCAAAGGCCCTGAACGCCGAGCATAGGTAATGGTGACACTCACTGGATAGCTGAAAAATAGCTCAGGTGGCTATAATCAAACAAATGAAGGATCAATCTTGATCCAGCTGCTTGTGTTTCTTATTTCCAAGAAAAAAAATGAAAATCTAGAGGAGGCAATTGCCTCCGTTGCCTCAATTGTAGTTACGGCCCTGTTTATAGTATATACTAGATTTTGTTTGAACAATCAATGTTCGTTATCTTAATTCATACCAATTGTTAGTCCATTATTTATACACTGAATTGACCACGGATTTTTTCCGTTATTTCCTGATTATGACAACGAGCACACGGCGGGTGTGACCGGTCGGCAGGGGATGCTCACTCCTCCATGGCACCTGATCCCACCTCTGATGTTTCGGAGGTCCGTGTTTGCTCTGCTCTTATTTTGTATATTTGTTTAATGGACGTTGAGATTGAATACTGTTCGTTATTACCATATCCTTCTTTCTGTCATTTTTGTTTAATTTGGTGTATTTTTTCATCATGCAGTGTGTTAGAAGAAAATGATACTAATGTTGACCTGAACGGAACTGAATATTTTTTTTTTCATTTTAAAAACTAATCTTTAAATTATGACGAAAATTGCCGAATACCGATTTGCTTTCAAAGTATGTGTGTTATAATAGAGTGATATGTCTTCCGAATAACAAAATAAATATCAATATTTTTGTCACTTGTAGCTTTTTAATTCTTATGATACGCGGAAAAAAACGTGCATTAAACTTTTCAAATGCTTATATTTTTCTGAAAGTGTAATATCCAAGGAATAATTTAAAGACAAGAAAAGTGTATGTTAGTGTTCATCTAAGAGAGGTTCAACCCTTTGAACATAGGCCAAAATAGAGCATGGGAAATTTCCTTAAAAATGCTACTAGACAATAAAATACCTCATAAAACTTATAAATATAGTGAATTAAAACTTAATTTGGCTTAAATTTACTTGAAAGTATTGCAAAGTTGATTTTTTAAACAAAATATGAGCAAATAAATACCAATTAAATAACTTGTACCCAAAAATGTTGTTCACCCATGTCAAAATTAGGCACATTTTTCCCTAAAAAATTGCTCGAAAAACCAAAGAAAAACATATTTCTACAATTAAACTTTTTAAGAAAATTGTTGTACAATTTCTTTAGGTATTATGGCTTCTTTTCATAGCATGAAAAGTAGGGGTAAGTGCACATATAAGAAAGTTTTGATATTTTTTATATCCCCACCCCATGTTTCTTTTTCAGCATTTAATGAAAATAAATCAAGCATCTAGGCATCAAAGTATGTGTTTTATTCACCAAATATTCAAAATTATTGTGATAATTTCAAGTAATATTTACAATTTTGTTAAGAAAAGATTTTTAAGAACAAAAAGTAATCAATTAACACATAAAACTTCACAATAGTCTGTTGGATGTCCTCTCTTTCTCTTGGCCTGGGGGTTCCAGATTGGGTCCTGGTTTGTGGTGTTGGATGGTGGCTTCACAGGGATTAGTCAAATCCAGTCCCACTTTCTCAATCTGATCTTTATGGTTTTCTCCATCTGATTTTAGTGGTTCTTAAACCCTGCTCTCTTCTAAAAGCCTTCATTGGTGATTCTTGTGAAAACAAGACTTACCTGTAAAAAATTATTTTAGAAAAAAATTAGATTATAATTTACTGGTAATATCATTGTTCAAAAATGTAAAATCATTATTTCGTCTATCTGACTTTGTTTTTATGAACCCAGGCCTGTAGTTTAGACTAAAATAATTTCTACATGTTCCATGATGTTTCAGAAATATTCCATTTTTTTAACCCGCATAGGCCGCCATAGAATGAAGCGACCTAGTTTCTTACCGAATACATGTAAACAGCTAAAAATTATAGAAGTTATCTTATTATTTTCTTACGGTATGTCTATAAATTTGAGATAGAGATTCTGCATTTATAATATCAAAGGTAATTTATCATATACTAAAAGCTAAAGTTGTAATACGAACTGCTGAATACGAATGTTGTCGTCTGCACGCCTCTGGAGACCTTAGGCCTAACGTTACGTACATGTAACATGTAATGTGCTATGTTTGACTTTGCGATGTGACAGTATACTATGTATTTTGAAACCTTTGTATCTATAACGCACAAACATTGCTATTTTCAATAAGTTTGAAAGCATTGTAAACCTACACTTTCGCTTTTCCACTGCGTCAACACACTTCGGCGCTCTTGGCTGGCATGTTTGGGTACCGCTTTCGAGAATGTTTCTGTAGGCTTAATTGTGATCTCGACAATTTTTTAAATGTTTTAAAATTTCTGTCGGTTGGCTCTTTTAATGGAGTGCCATTCGGCATTCCTGTCGCTTTGAAACGGGCGATCCGGTCTTCTTGAGTCTTCGGACTTCCCCTCTCGATGTCGATTTCACTTGTCGATTTTCTTAGGCCTATGTCGTAAATATCGTAATTTTGCACACGTGTTGGTCATTTATACAATATAGAAAGATTTTTTATTTAAAAATAAATATAGTTAAACATATCAATCATAAAAACTTTAAAAACTTCTTTGTAAATTGTTATCAGTTTGAATTTTACGACATGTCTAAGTACGAAGACCCACTTGGGGTAAATTGATCAGAAGAATTCATCCTTAATTTATTATTTTTTATTATTTTTTTTTACGAAGAAACCAAGAACAAAAACTATATATTATGTTCACAAACGAACAATAGAACATTGAATCGATATTACGAAGCGAAATTACTTACATCTGAACTTATATAACAAGCAATCAGATTAAAAATTAATAACTTCATCAGCAAACAGCGCTTCTATTAAATGGTAACATTTTCTTAAGGTATTTACATGATTTAATTTTTTTTCTTTGTTATGGTTTCACAGCAGATATTTGATTTTCTTCACTTTTCCATTTCTAAACTGAGCAACGAACAGATAATCATTTGAATCTATACACAGTCCCATGGGATCACTCAGGCTACATTTTATATAACAGAGGAACTGTCCATCCTGGTCTATGATGTGTACACAGTCATTGTTATCATCAGCTGTAAGGATGTGACTCTGACTGTCCGTGGTGATTCCTCGTGGACTGAATGGTCTGTTCTTTGGAGAAGGAGTATGTCCAGTGTACCTGAATCTCAGTTTCCCTGTCTGATTGACTACCACTATTACTTCAGCTTTATGGTCAGATACACAGATATCCAGGTTCCTGTTCTCAGTAATGTGTCTGTAGTAAAAGCCCATGGAATAGAGAGGTTTACCTTGATCATCAAACTGAATCGTTTGTTTCTTTGTGGAGCCGCAGTAACGGACAACCTTTGATTGTTTTTCTCGAACATTATACATGATAACTAGCAAATCAAAAGAGATCGTTATACAGACACTGTAAGGACCCCATTTTTGTGTTTTGATTATCTCTTCTATTCCTTCATTCTTCACAATAATTACTGTCTTATCCATGTGATCGGTATAAACTAGATCTCCATTTTTCGTTACTGCTAAGTCATAGAGTTTGTTTCCTGACTTGGTTGTGATTGACTTGAGTAGTGATCTCTGATTGATGCTGAAGAGTTTCATGGTGTTGTCAGTTCCACTTGTCCAGATTTCTTCATCACTCTTACAGGCCGCATTGAGTAGGTTTTCATACCCGGTGTCTATGGTGGTGACAGTCTCTGGTTCATCAAGCAGCTGTTTGACTGGAGGAGAGGATCCAGCTTCTGGTGATATCTGTGTTGTCCTCATGCTGTAGCCATGTTTTTCTAATGTCATGAAACTTGGGGCTAAGACGCCGAAAAGTTTTCTGATCTCTTCTTCTAGGATTTTACCAGGTGTAAATTTTGGTAACGACGGCAAAATTTTTTGCGGAAGATTTTTATATTTGTCTATAGTGGTTGTAAGATTAATTGCTAAGAGCTTTGTTATGTCATTATAATCAACAAAAGCTTCAATCGAACTGATTTCATTCTTAATATCAGAAATTGTAACGGTTATTTCATCCAGATGTTTCTGCAAAGTTTTCAACTGTTTGATTTTCAAATCATGAACTTCATCTTGAAGGTTCGTCACATGTTTCCTTATTTCTCTGTGCAAGACATCTCCCTGTTCTTCTATGGCAGCTGAAAGATCTTCACAATTCTTTTCTATCTGACTTATTCCGTTTTGTATGTCAGAGGCAATGTCCATATATGTTGGACATATCGTCTCCTTTAGTTCCATTTGTTTATTTATAATCTTTTCCTTTCTTTCATCAAGAACTTGTAGGATTTTTGATAATTTATGGCCTAAATGTTGATCTGAAGCAACGCATGTGGCACACACAGGAATATCACATTGATTACAGTACATTTCACATTGTTCTTTGACATGAGATGCACATCCAGGGTAGAGGGGTGTGGTTTTGCGCAGATTGCTTGTAACAATTTCATGTTTCTTGGACTTATCAGAAATCGTATGTTCTCCCACACAGGCCTTACACAGGTTGACAAGACATGTATCGCAGTGCATCTGTACCACAGCGGTCTCACACAGGTCACATCGCATCACATCTTGGGCACTGGTACGGGGTCCATGATTCAATTTTTTTACCTAAAATTGAGGAAATAAATAACATCGTTAGGGCGTTAAATATTCTTACATCACCTTAAAAAATGATTAAATTAAATGACTAAAAATTGAAACGGTCCTTTTGTCTGTAACAAAGTCCAAGTTGCATTAATACCCCCTGGTATATGTGCAAATTGAACTGATAAATGTAATGAAAAATTCAATGATTAAGGGTGTATATGTTATAAACAAATAAATTATTTACAGGGTATATGTTGTGAACAACCAATTATTCATGTAATTCACAAATGTAATTCACTTAAATCCCTACCAGGTTAAGAATCTGATTAGGAAAGTACTAGTCACGATTAAAAAGTACAGTTTCACTATAACGACAAAAATCATTATGAAGAAATCAGCTGAGGAATATGAATCAAATCCAACCTCTTTCTAATTTGACATTCCTGTGAAATACACATGTATTACAAAATCATTATATCCTCTCGAAAGGGAGTTGGAGTGAATAAATGATATAAATTTGTGTGTGCTAGTTTGTGTGTGCTAGTTTGTGTGTGCTAGTTTGTGTGTGTTAGTTTGTGTGTGCTAGTTTGCTCTTGTACGAAACGGAATAGCCGTCATTGGGATCTATGGATATTTGCATTTAAGTTATTTGGAATATTAAAATATTCAAAACTGACGTATGATTTTGAAAAATTTCTTCATTAGGAAGGGAACTATGAACATAAGTTTGATTACCACTTGTAGAATTAAATCCAATTTCTTGTAAAATACAATTTATATAATGAACCTTACAAATGAAGACAATGTTGTTTCCTGCTTTTTTTTCAGTAGGGACCAGTACGTACTGATCATGTAAACTATCTAATTCTTTTTCCACTTCTGGATTATTGAATACAGAAGGATAGATTGTTTTCATTTTGCTCCTCAGTCTTTTAATACATTATTTTAACATGGATCTGATTCATTTAATCCATGAACGATTTGTGAAATAAGCCCTAGATAATAAACAAAAATTGTTTGTATTTTTAATTCAGCTTTACTTTGATATTATATTTATTGCAGCTGTCTCTGTTGAGAATAGCAATCTAAATCTCTAAATTAATTAAGTTATCCGCTAATTGCCATTGCCTTTGCTTATGCGGTATGAAAATTTCAGTTCTAGTATTTGAAAATAAAATTGAAACGAGAAATAATATGCTATTCATTGTGAATGAAACATGTAGCCACATTAATTTTCTTTGAAAGGTTTCAGAATGTTTATATGACCGTTGTTTAGAAGTGCCTTGTTTAGAGAATCAGGAATGTAATTTGTAATATATGCTTTGGTGTAAACTCCCAATTATGTTATTTGATAATTAATCTAATTTTTACATAAGAATTTAGAAACGCCTTTTATTAATTTAATTCAGTATAAGTGGCCTATTATATCACTTTTCAGTTTAAAAAGTGTGGCAATATATGAACATATATTTACATTTACTTTGTTTGACCCTAATAGAAAGCATTGTAAAATTACAAGTGATAAATACACATAACACACAAGACCAAATCACCGAAGTCTGTCTGGCGTATGAATAAAGGGACTACGCCATTACAGTTAAAACAAAGCGAAAACTTCATGTTTTTTTATACTATTCATTTGTATTTCTTTGTTGCTAAATATAGTTTATCATTTTAGATTGAAAAATTAAGAAAACTTGATTACTGTTATCTGTTTTAATGTGTACTATTTTTGTTTGCGGATTTTGGTTTGTTTGCAAACAAACTCTGGCGGAAAACTTGGATAAAGCTGTCCCAAAAGCTGTTCTATCAATTGTAATTTACATGAAGGATAAAGCGGGAATTTTATTTAAAAAATTTGAAATTGTGGAAAATTTAGGGGCTAAAAAATGTAAATATAAGCATTGAATTATCATTTTTTGAAAGATGCAGTCTCATAACTGCAATGGTGTGTGCAAACAAATTTTCATAACGCGCGTTACTCAATTTGTTTGCACACACCATTGCAGTTATGAGACTGCATCTTTCAAAAAATGATAATTCAATGCTTAAGTAACCACTAAAATGTGCCTATCATAGACCAATTATGTCACTAAATAAGTTTAATTTGCTGAGAAAATCAAACTGAATTTAATCATTCTACATAAATATTTTCTTAAAGCCATATATGGCGTATGTACAATGAAAATTATAAGACTAAAATTATAAGAACTTATTATTTGTATCATTACTTCATATAAAGATAGAACTTTTCCGTAAATTACAAAATCTAAGTCAATTGCGTTATAAAGATATCACAATTTAATTTGGATTCTCGGAATTTTCTCCGACTCGGAATAAAATACAAAAGATTTAAATAACACATTACAGAGAAGAAAAAATCGTATTATTATATGAAACGTGGTTTTCTCCGTGTTCAGAATTGTATGAAAAGCTTTAATTTAAATGTACTTACTTTATTTCTTTACTTAATTTTGTATTTTTCAAAAATATAATTTTTGATCAGTTACGCCATATATGGCTTTAAATTTTCCTTCATTTTAATCGTAAATAATTTGTTATCTGATTCAAATTGCATTATTCGCTTGTGTATTCAAGAAAGAACATCAAAAGAAACATACTGGCAATCTAGACATCGATATTTTTTTTTTTTACCAAAACAAATTATCTGCACCGATTATTCATCTACACCGATATGTATGTATACTGCAATATGACAATTACAGAGGTATTGGGTAAAGAAATAAGCTTTGTCAATAATTCCTAGACCAACCTAGAGGATCAACTTTTTTTGAAATTTCTAAATTAGTGACGTTTTACAATAACTTTCATCAAAAGAAATCTCTAGGGCAGAAATACAAAATATATGAAAAATGTCATAATTTGGCGCTTTTCCAACAAGCTTTCAGAGTGTCTCTCAACAAATTTTATTTAAAACAAACTAGGAATCGTAACGGTAAACATTCGATTTTTAATCTTAAAACAATAAATGTAATAGTAAAAATTAATTCAAGAAAATTATCAAAATATCTTAGGTAGTAATAATTAGACTTGGACTAGTTAAATTTGTACAGATTACAAGGAAAACGACAAAAATTTGCATACGAAAACAGAAAACTTTCTTTACATTAAGGACGTTCGATCCTGAGATTTTGAGCGTAATTTTGTCCTGTTCTTTTTTTTTCTTTTTTTTTTTTTTTTTAAATTCTGCATTATTTTTAAGTTCTAACATTAAATCTGAATTCTACAGTGCAAATTTAACTATATTCAAATAATTTAATTTTAGTTGTAACACGTCATTTGATTGGTTAAACGGTGTTATCCATTTTGTATAGCATAACTTGCCTACGTCACATATTACTCCGCATGACGTTAATTTTAAAATAACGCTGAATATTAAACCTTTTTTCCGGAGGAAATATTGTCTTATTGTCTACCCAGAAATTAAATTATAAGGAATGAAGCTTATTTCAACTTACATTGTATGTTATCCGATATACCAAAACTTTACTATAGTAAATATTTTCTGAAAATCCGGGGAAAAATTGAACCAATATTAACGTAAAAATTACACTTTTTTAGTGATATCTAAAAAATTACATTATATACCCCCTCTTTTGATGTTCTTTTCTAAATATTCAAGATAAATTTGGCTTATTTGCTTAAAATCAGAAAAAGTTTCAGACTTTAAAATTATAATTTTCTTGCTTATTAAATTTCAATGCCAGAAAAATCACTTTTATTAGTGCAGAAAGGTCAAATTATTGATTGTGCGAAGCAATTTAAAACTTTTTCTTAGTCGCAATTTTTAAGAGTCTTTTTTAAACAAACTCAAGGTTCATTCTGTTTCATGCTTTAATTGGATAAAAATATTGGAAAGAAAACGTCGAAAATTTAATTTTTAATTAAGACACAAATTTCCGTGCAAAAAGGTCATATCAAAATGTACTGTAGGGCCAAAAGAAGCGTATTGACCCCCATTTTTTGATTTGAATTTTAATTATGCTATGTATATAAAAACTAAAAATATACTTGGCAAAAAAGGTTTAAGACTTTAAATATCAGGATCGAACGTCGTTAAATACGAGTGAAAGATTTCGAGAGGAACATTAAAAAATAAAAAATACATTTTAGGGATTTATCAATTATGTCATTTCTTTTCAAAATTAATCAAAAATATTATTTTTCTTTATTGTTCCAACTATCTGATTGGCTCAAACTGGATCAAATGACCAAGTATAAAAAGTTTTAAAGACTGAATGTTTCTATTTTATAAATTCATAAACCTGCTGTTTCTACTTCTGTGAAGCAACAATAGTGCTGACGTCACAATAGTCTTTATAAACTGGATGTTTCTAAAAACAAATACTGCAGCTGGTTTTCATGATAATGACGTCATAATGCAAATGACATAACAATGCCTTGTATGAAAAGGTACTGAGCATTAGAAAGAATTTTAAGACATTTCTTATTTACTGTTAAAAAATAATAAAACGATTGTAGCCTTTTGATTCGGTACAATCCCTCGATATGTAGACCTTAGAGAAAGCATGTCGACCGAGCACGAAGTGCGAGGTCGACATGCTTTCTCTAAGGTCTATATATCGAGGGATTTTGACCTCAACAAAAGGCTATAATTGTATATTATACAT